AGAGATGACTCAGCAGGTAAGAGATGACTCAGCAGGTAAGAGATGACTCAGCAGGTAAGAGATGACTCAGCAGGTAAGAGCATTTGTTGCTCTTGTGAAGGATATAGATTTAATTCCCAGCACCCACATGTTGGTTTACTACTAACTCCAATACTAGAGGATTTGACTCAAAGCCCTCTTTAAACTGGGGGTGGTGGTGCATGCCTCTAATTGCAGCAAGGTGATAGGGCTAGTAAGCCAAAACCTGAGGCAAAAGGCTCAACAATTCAAGGCTAGCCTTGACCACATGAGACCCTGAAAGCCACAAAGCAAACAAAAACAATAATAAATAAATCTCTTGGGGCTGGAGAGCTGACTCAGTGGTTAAGAGCACTGGCTGCTCTTCCAGAGGTCCTCAGTTCAATTCCCAGCAACCACTTGGTGGCTCACAACCATCTGTAATGGGATCTGATGCCCTCTTCTGGTGTGGCTGAAGACAGCTACAGTGTAGTCATATACATAAAATAAATAAATCTTTTTTTAAAAAAATCTCTTTCTCCAAAGAGAAAGATATCTGTTTCTAAGAAAAATCAAATGTGTGTGTGTATACAGTTCAGTGATAGAGTTCTTGGGTGTTGTTTGTTTTCTTTTGATTTTTTGAAACAAGGTCTCACTGTGTACCCCCTGGGCTGTCCTGGAACTCTTTAGGTAGACCACTCTGGCCTTAAATTCACAGAAATCCATCTGTCTATGCCTCCAAAGTGCTCAGATGAAAGGCATTCACCACCACACCTGGCAGTGGCAGAAGAAAAATAGATAGGCATAGGATCTGGACGAACACTTCTCTAAGCACAGGACAGATATTCCACAAGCCCTCAAGAAAATGTAAAACTAAAGCATTTCACATCCAGCCAGGCAGTGGTGGTGCATGCCTTTAATCCCAGCACTTGGGAGGCAGAGGCAGGGGGATTTCTGAGTTCGAGGCCAGACTGGTCCACAGAGTGAGTTCCAGGACAGCCCGGGCTATAAGGAGAAACTCTGTCTCGAAACTCCCCCCCCCCAAAAAAAAAAGAAAGAAAGCACTTCACATCCACTAGGATGACTGAATCAGAGACAGTAACAGGTGTTACACAGATGCAGAGACACAGAGACCTATGCTCAGGAAATGTTAGTCAGTGTTGTGTTGTAGGTCTGAAATTCCAACAGTCAAGAACAGGACAAAGTATCAGGAGTTCAAGACCATCGTTGGCTATAAAACCAGGTGGAGGAAGTTACCGGGCAGTGGTGGTGCACGCCTTTAATCCCAGCACTTGGGAGGCAGAGGCAGGCAGATTTCTGAGTTCGAGGCCAGCCTGTTCCACAGAGTGAGTTCCAGGACAGCCAGAACTACACAGAGAAACCCTGCCTCAAAAAACCAAAAAACAACAAAAACAAACAGGTGGAGGCCAGCCTGGTCTACAGGTGACTTCACAAGACGGACTAGCGGGCCTTTGACTTATGCTTTGCTTTTGAGACAGGGTCTCTATGAGCTCACAAGGAAACCACTTCAACCTTCCAGCTGCTGGGATCACAACCATGCCCAGCTTGTATGGCAATCTTGTTTGTTTGTTTGTTTGTTTGTTTGTTTGTTTTAAGTTTTTGCTTTAAATAATTATGTACATTGATGTGTTTATAAAAAGATAAAGAGAGCCAGGCAGTGCTGGTGAACGCCTTTAATCCCAGCACTTAGGAGGCAGAGGCAGGCAGATTTCTGAGTTCAAGGCCAGCCTGGTCTACACAGTGAGTTCCAGGACAGCCAGGACTATACAGAGATACCCTGTCTCGAAAAACAAAAACAAACAAACAAAAAAGATAAAGAGATATAGAATATGTTCTGTGGTGGCGTAGTGAGGTATGGGGGTAGGGGATATCTCAGTGGGCCTATGCTAAGGCATCCCTTCCTCCTGAGGGACCAGCCACATGACAGAATAGTATAGAATAGAGTTTATTCAGGGCATGGGGAGGGGAGTTATAAGGGTAGTAGAGGCAGAGAAAGGCAGAGAGAGAGAAAGAGAGGAGAGAGAGAGAGAGAGAGAGAGAGAGAGAGAGAGAGAGAGAGAGAGAATAATAGAGGCCAGCCATGAGCACATGGAGAGAGGGGGAAGGGAAGGGGAAGGGGTGAGGGACAGAGGGGGAAGAAGGCAAGAGATCAAGAGAAGAGGGGCAAGCAATCCCTATTTCACAATACCTTGTCCTTGAGGATTATAAGGAATCCCAGGAATATGGCTAATATTAAATTGTCAGCAAAGTATCTCAAATGCCTGACTGCAATAGCCAGTTCCATCATCTGTCTTAATCTGATATGGAACACCAAGCATAGAAAAATAATGTAGCCAATAACTAATTACACTTTTAATTGCTTCTCCTGTTAAAGTAGTTGCAACTAGAAAGCCTGAAAAGGTGTCAAGTCACATGTACAATTTTTAATTGATTAAGTACACGTCCTTAAGGATTAACATCATTATGAAGGTGTTCCTGGCCTGCTCAAGGCTAGGGAGGGGCAGGCACGCACATTTGATCCCAATATTCCATAGACAGAGGCAGGCCTATCTTTAAGAGTTCATTACTAGCTTGGTCTACATAGCAAGTTCCCAAGTGTGTGTGTGTGTGTGTGTGTGTGTGTGTGTGTGTGTGTGTTCACATGCTTATATTTAGAAGCCTGAGAAGGGAATCTATTACTGTGCTTTGGAGCAATGGTTCTCAACCTGTGGGTCGTGACTCTTTTGGTCAAACAACTCTTTCACAGAGTTTCCCTGAGACCATCAGAAACACAGACACTTAAATTATGAGGTAGCAATGAAAGTAATGTTATGGTTAGAGGACCAGCACACCATGAGGAGCTGTATTAAAGAGTTACAGCATTAAGGACGTTGAGACCCACTGCCTTGGACTGTCTAACTAATCAGAGGCTGGCTGTTTTGGCTAGACTGCTATGGGAAGAAGAGAGTGCTTATCAGTCTTTTTGAGGGGGTGAACTATTCCAGAATTGATAGTTCTGATCTTCAGACCACTTTGTCTCACTCTGTAGTCCCAGGTGTCTAGAACTTGCTATGAAGACCCACTGGCCTTTCCTGTGTGGCAGCTCCAGCTCCTATTGTCTGCTGGAATTATACACTCATTTTTGAAGATTTACTTAATGTATTTATGTATGTATCGCATGTTTTCTGTGTGCATGCCAGAAGAGAGCACTAGATCCCATTGTAGAAATGATTGTGAAATGACTGTGGTTGCTGGGAATTGAACTCAGGACCTCTGGGAGAGCAATCAGTGATCTTAACTGCTGGATCATCTCTCCAGCCACCGTCCCCCAACCTCTGTAAAAATGTTTACTTCTAAAAGGTGATTTTTGTAGTCATGATAGTACTTGCCTGTAATCTAGCACTCAGGATGGTAAGGAAGGGCAACCAGGAGTTCCAGGGTATTATGAGTTATATAATGAAACCCTGCTATAAAACAACAAAAGAAAAGCCATCTTAAATTTGTTTTTATGGTGACAAGGTCTCACTACGTAGCCCTGGAACTCACCTTACAGACTAGGCTATCCTGGAACTTATCTTACAGACTGGGGTATCCTGGAACTCAGAGGGATATCTTGCCTCTGTCTCCTTGGTGCTAAGATTAATTAAAGGTTTGTGTTATCACACCTGGCCTTACTTCAACTTTTAAAAAGATTGACATAAAAGACTTTAGTCAAGAAAAAGTGCCTGTTAAAGGATCTCATTTTAGCCGGGCGGTGGTGGCGCACGCCTTTAATCCCAGCACTTGGGAGGCAGAGGCAGGTGGATTTCTGAGTTCAAGGCCAGCCTGGTCTACAGAGTGAGTTCCAGGACAGCCAGGGCTACACAGGGAAACCCTGTCTCAAAAAAACAAAAACAAAAACAAAAAAAAAGGATCTCATTTTATGCCCACAGCTGGCAAATACAGACAGGAAACAGGATAATGGGGTGGGGGGCAAGCACGGGCATAGGACTGCAATCCCGGCACCTTAGAATGGAGAGACAGGAGGATGCAGAGTTCAAAGCTAGTTTTAGCTCTGCAAGGCCCTTTCTCAAACAAGAAGACTAGTGACTCTCTAGAGGCTACAGGGTATAGTTCCTCTGAGTTGACAAGACTGATTGTAGGGATAATTACACAACTTTGTGAACACATAAACACTACTGAGTTATATGCTTCTAATGTATTCTCTTTTAAAACTGTGCTTCAACTCGGCAGGCCTGAACCTCACTGCATAATCTAGGTGGTTAGAAACCTCTCCAGATCTTCTTGTCATTGTTTCCCAAATGTAGCCCAAGCTGGCTTCCAACTAAATATGTATCTCTGAGGTTTAAATCCTCTTGCCTACACCTCCCAAGTACTAGGATCCAGGTGTTGCTACCACACCTGTTGGTCCCACTTCTAACATCTGTTCATCTTCGGGCCACAAGTCCCATCTCCTCCTAATTAGAACACACTCAAACCTCAAACACAGTCCCAGCCCTTATCTCCAGAGCCTCTTCCCACCTCCACTGATAGACATTTCCAGGACACCCTCACACGTTAAATTTGACATGTGAGTGGTCAGTTAGAGAGTCACAGGATGGACATAGAAGAAAATCATTAGCCAGGCGTGGTGACACACACCTTTATTCTCAATACTGGGAGGCAGAGGTAGGTGGATCTCTGTGAGTTCAAGGCTGGCTTAGTCTACATACAGAGTTCCAAGCCAGCTACAGCTTAGTGAGACTGTTTTCAAAAAAGGAGAAACATTCCATTCTATTTTGGCTTTAACTTGGGAGTAATCAATAGGAAAAAAGATGCAAAAAAGGTGGCATAGGCTAAAAAGCTAGAGAGAGGCTTCTACAGCTGTGAACGGAAAGGGTACCAGGGGTACCATAGTTCTTTAAACTGTGTACGAGAAACATGTTCTATGTGTGTTCAAACATGTCTGTGTGCTTCATGATGTCGGGCTTGTCTTCCCTCCTATCAGTTGAAGCACAGAATGACCAAACCAAACAAGGCAGAGGGCGGAACAAATGGGATCACTAGAACAGTTTGGAAAGAGGTCAGTTACTCCAGACAACCTCTTGCCAAAGGGTTCTGTGGTACAGGAAGCCCTGCTTAAGATGATGCATCTACTCACACTTGCTGAGAGGAGAGGCTGACTTGACGAGGATCTCCACAGATCTTAGATACATACAAACACTCACATTGTTCTTTTATTCCACTTTGGTGACTGCCCCTGTCGTCTGTCAGATACATCCAACTCAGGAGGCTAGGGCTCAGGCTCCAGGTGATTCTCAGTTATAAAATAATAAAGTCCCAGAGTTTACAGGGTGGTTTAAGAGGTGTGTCGGAGTCTCTTGCAGAATATCCAGCACCAGTACAGGTTGGGCCGGATTAGTCCCCGGCTCTCTCCATGGCCAGGTGCCAACCTGCACAGCCTGGGCTACCTCTGTTGGGCTAGAACTAGTTTTTTGAACCAGGAACTCACAGCGCCATCCACTCGCATCACCAGTGCTATGCCCAGGAGAAGTCCCACACTGCTCACCATGAAACCTACGGCTTCAAAAATGAACCTGTGGAGAAAGGTGGAGTATTTCAGGACACAGACAATAGGTCTAATGCCTTTCTTTAAAGAGGCAAAACACTGTCCATCTAGGCCATCCATAGTTTCCTTCCAAGCGAACACACTTACTTGGGAGCAAATACCTTCCAGACCATGAGATGTCTTCGGAGGATGGAAGCTGCCAAGGCACAGGCGAGAATCTGAGAGAAGAGAGGAGGTGCAGTTACTCTGGAGGAAGCAAGGCAAAGGAGAAATTGTTATAGAGCCTGGCAAGAGATAGAAGGAGGAAGAGAAGGAGAAGGAGGAGGAAAAGGAAGAGGAGGAGGAAGAGGAAGAGAAGGAGGAGGAAAAAAGAGGAGGAAGAAGAAGAGGAGGAGGAGGAAGATGAAAGAACAATGTATGCCACTGGAAACACCTGGTGTGGGAGTCAGGAAACCCAGTGCTTGTCCTGGTCCAAGCCCTGACGCATGTGAAGGCAGGTCACTGCCCATCTGTAATGCTGACATTCAGACTCTGCCCTCTAGCACAGAAGACGGCAGTAACACACCTTCTGCCTCTGGACCACAGTTTAGAAAAGAATCCCAGCCATAACCTCGGCTTTTCCAGTATCTGTAATGTAACTAACAGGGCCTAGAGCTACACTGCAGAATACAAATGATCCAGGCCTGGCCAAATCTGCCATGCATGATCTCTTTGAGCAATCGCTTCGTTTTGCTGGACCTCCATCAAGGGTCTTCCCAATGTATTGGAAACTAAGGAAGAGTGCAGAGGGTGGGCGTGGGGAAAGGTTGCCAGCTCTGCCATCTCTCCGCACCCACCTGAGCTCCAAGGATAAAGAGGTACTTGAGGCCCAGCTGCAACAGGGCTGCATTGAAGTGATGCGGAGCGTCCCGGAGGCGCATCTCCATCAGTGGCTCCTCTTGCTCTTCCTCGGGCCTGACTCTGGCCTCAGACTCACTTCCCAGGAGTGGCTGCCTCCTCTTTGGCCCTTGACGCTCACATAGGAAGGGCCAGAGCAGGAGCAGTGGGCAACCTACTGCCTCCGGGGAGGACAGGGTTAACATCAAGGGAGGATCTTGGGGCCAGTCCACCCTGGTCCCCAACCACCCTAGGTGGCTTAGGCTGCAAAGAACTTAGGGCCACAGGACTGCAAAGAGCCAACAACTTTTCCCCTCCAGAGCCAACATTTTCCTTTCTTCCCATAATGCTCCGGGAGTAAACAGAAGTCAGAGAGGGAAAGCAGAGAGGTACCTGCAAAGAGGAGGTGAGAGGCAAAGGTGTTAGCTCCCACTAGTAAGGCAGGCAGCCAAGTAGAAGAGCCATGGCCGTCTGGGAAACCCACGAAGGCTGCGTGCCAATGGATGGCTGAAAAGACGGGCTGGTGGCCTGTGGAGTAGAAGGTCTGGGTAGCCAAAAGGACCCAAGCTGAGACTGCCTGCCACAGTACAGTAAAAGGACCTGAAAGAAAAGATAAACATCTTTACAATTCCATCCCATTCCCTAGCTGACAGCCTGCTGTGCTGGGACCATCCATGCCCAGTACTTGAGCACGTTTGTACACGGTCACCTGCTAGCCCAAGCTTCCCCACAGCCAATACTACTGTTCTAATTCCCTCACTACTGTAAATCATAGCACAACACCAGCGCTCAAGCTCTTCCTCACAAAGAGCTCACTTTGTGATAACACATTCACAATATATCACTTTTGTAACTGGAACAATCAAGGAGATGCTCACGGAGAGACAGCATTTCTCTAAGAAATGAGTCCTGAAGTCCTCCTGGGGGGAGGGGGGTCAGCATAGTGAAGAAGGCAGATAAGGGAAGTTATTCCCAACTGGAAGGACAGGCGGCCCTCTGTCAGGGTGAGAAACCACTTCCTAAGACCAGATGCCTCAGGGAGCAGGTCTGTATTTACCAGGGGTAGCAACTGGAGTCCCAGCAGCGAGCAGATGCAGGAGCAGGAAGCTCTGCAGAAACAGGAGCAGGAACACGATGCTGACACGCTCTACATGCAACAGCAGAAGTGGGAAGGCCAAGAGGATGAGGGCTGTGACCATAGCAGCTGAGTAGACACTTCCCAATTGATAGGCAGCCACGGTTATGGGACCCTGAGCTTTAGTCCTCTCCAGCCGGCCCTGGAGCTCCGCCTGCATGTGGCGGTAGATTTGTGGGACCACATAATCTAGGTCAGCCTGAGAAGTAGGGGGACCTGAGAAGGGAGTGAGGATAGTCCTGGTCCTTGAAGTAGCAGCCCCAGACTTCACCAGCACTGTCACAGGCCTCCATAGCAGCAGCATGAGCCCCGAGGCAGCCAGCCCCATCACAGCCCGAGGCAGCACAGCTGATGCCCCGGCAACCAGGGCCCGGAGGCGTGGTGGTGCTTCCTCTGCTCCTGACGCCAGTGCCCAGTAGGCCGCCGTGCCCAGTACCATGAGAGGCAAACCCCAGCGCACAAAGAGCACAGGGGGCTCAGGACTCTTGAGATTACCATAGCAGCGAAGCCACAAGCGCACGACGACTAACAGGGCCACCAGTGCCCCCACGCAAGCTCCGTACCACAAATTCTTGGCTCGACCTCCTACCATAGATGCCAGAGGACTCAGCCAGGGAGAGGAGCGACAAGCAGGTGTCTCTTCAGGGCAGCGGTGAAAAAGCCCGGCTAGCCTTGTAAATAAAAGCAACCCAATTCCAAGCCACAGGGCGTGTGTGCCACTGTGCCGTGGGGGCGCTGTTGGGGCGGAAGAGCCAAAGCGGGATATTGTGAGCAGTTTGGGTGGCAGTAGCTGACCCTCCCAGTGAAGCTGAGCAACCAGGAAGAGAATGAGAGAGCCCAGAAGGAAGGGGGTGGCCCTGGCCTCAGCAACAACAAAGCTGTCAGAGAAGAAGGTGGCCAAGCGGATGAGCAGTAGAGCTAGGACAGGTCTAGGGACAGGAAGTAGGGGAGCCAGGGGCCTCTTAGACTCCCAGATAACCCAGGCTTTCCACAGAAAGGGGAGGAGTGAACTGGCTGCAGCCACAGCCCCCAGAACCACTGAGTCTAGCTTTGACCCAGTAGTTACAGAGACTCCAGCATACAATATGGTCCAAGTTAGGCCCCAGGCTACAGGTATTAGCAGTAGTGGGCGGAAGAGAAAGCCTGGGGCTATTGCCAACTGGGATGCAAGCAGGCAGAGAAGGCAGGCAGCAGCCAAGAGAGTAGCACCCCCTGCCATTCGGACCAGAGAGAAGCGGGCCCAAGACTCGATGCATAGGGCCCGAGCTCCCCGCAGGAACTGCTGGAACTCAGCAGTCAGCGTGCTCAGCGAGGCCTCGGCGGCTTGGGGATCTTGCAGAAGGTGCTGGTAACTCGCAGAGGCCTTGGAGAAGAGCTTCTGCAGCCGACGGAGCTCTTTAACTTGGAGATCCTGTGTTGAAGCTGAGTAGGTATGAAGAAACCGGGACACCTGGCAGAGAAGGCCAGAGATACAAACCGGGTCGGAGGTAAGCACAGGCCTTATATGAGGGAGGTGTCTGGAAACGTGGAGCTCAAATTCTATCCAAGATGGAGAAGGGAAGGATAATGGAAGAAAGGCATTTTGACAAGAACAAAGACAATGGGGTCGTATTTGTCCTTGTGCTTTGTTACCTGGAAGTCTAGTCCTCCCACCTACCTGCTGGGCATTGATGTGGAGAGCCGAGGCTTGGGCCAGAGCAGAGGAGTAAGGACGGGAGGAGTCATCGCCACCTGAGAATAGCTCAGCCATCACTTCCCCAGTGTTCCCAAACGGGATGGGCAGCCCTAGCAGCAGGGCCAGCGTGGGCACAAGGCTGACCTGAGGAATAACCTCTGGCTCCTAGAAGAAAAGGTCAAGTGACAACGGCCTCACCAGGCCTCGGTAAGAACAGTGGGAGGGAGTGTTCGGAGCAACGGTTCAGCGGGTGAGAGCATTTGCTGCATAAGGACCTAAGTGTGGATCACTGACTCCGTGTAAACAGAGCTGGGCATGACCATGCGTGCCTGTAACTTAGTGCCGCAGTGGGCAGAGACGGGAGGGTTTCTGGCCTCCAGGCTAGCTCCAGGTTCAGTGAGAGACACTGTTTCAGTATAAGGTGGAGAGTGCTGGAGCAGAATACCAACATCCTCTGCTTCCTTACACACACACACACACACACACGAGTGTGCATGCCAGCACACACATGTGCAATTACTTCATACATACATCACACAAATAAAAATAAATGAGTTGGGACCAGATCATGGCTTGGGGAGCCTACAATAGGGGGATCACAATATAGGGAGACCAGAAGAGGTGCAACCCAGGCCTTACCTCGGGTGGGACACTAGGGAAGAGGGCTGTGGGGCTGTACAAGAAGAGTGCAGCTGACACCTCCAGCTCACTGTCCCCTCCATGGTCCCCATTCATGGTCATCCCATGGTCACCAGCTACCACCAGCAGTGTGTCATTCTCCAGGCGTCCTATAAGTTCCCTGGGGGTCAAGAAATGTGTCAGAGGGCAGGGAGAAATAAAGATTCTTCTCAGGGGCCCATTTACCCCTGCCATTAACTTCCATTACCAGGGTCTAAACTTCTGTCAAAAAGACACCTCTTCAGCTGTCACCTGCAGCCCAGAGCTACACACAGTTATTCAAGATGGTTGGTGTCCCTAGGTTTTTAGGAGAAAAGCCTATATAAAGTATTTCAGAGCTGCTGGGTAGTGGAGGACAGTGGAGGCACATGCCCTTAATTCCAGCACTCGGCAGTTTGAGGCAGGTGAATCTCTGAGTTTGAAGCCAGTCTAGTCTACAAAGCAAGTTCTAGGACAGCCAGGGATTCACAGAGAAACCCTGTCTCAAAAAAACAGGGGAAAAAAAAAATCAAGAGTCAGGCACAGTGAATGCCTTAAATCCCAATATTGGGAAGTAGAGGCAGGTGGATCTCTGGGACTTTGAGTCCAGCCTGGTCTGGTTTATGCAAGTTCCTGGTCAGCCAAAGCTACTTATGAGACCCTATCTCAAAATACATACATAGAATTCATCCAGGCTGCACATAGGATTTTTTTCCCTCATGGAATCTTATGTCCTGAGATTCTCAAATACAGACCACTCCCCCAGCCAGCACCCCACACTCACTGTATCACCTGGTCCATCTGGCTAAGTTTCTTGGCCATTTCAGGGTGGTCAGGGCCATGCTTGTGACCACAATGATCCACACCCAGGAAGTGAGCGATCAGCACATCCCACGCACCACTGTCCACTGTGGAGGGGAGAACACTGAGCACATGGCAGGAAACCCCACACCTCAGCCCAGTCATGGGTGACATTCCTCTACGCCCAGTGGTACAAGCCAAGGCTGCCGTACCCAGGGTCTGCAGACTAAAGGAACCCTCCCCAGCTCCTGGGGTCAGTGAGGGACTGAGTGATCTTTCTCACTCACTGGTAGGATAGAGGTGTTCTAAGATGCCATTATCCACTGTGTGTAGGTCTCTGACATTGAAGGATGAGAAGAAGAAAGCTTGGGAAAACGCTCCGGGGAAAAGGTCTTTCCAGGTATCATCTCCCATGAAGACTACACGCCTTCCTGTAGACAAGAGGGGAATCAGAGCATATCTTGTTCATGTGAGAACCAGAACAGGGGAGAATATAAGAGAAGACTCTCAAAAAGACAAAAATCAGAAAACAAAAAACAAAGGGCAGAGGAGACGGCTCAGTGAGTGAAAGAGCTCGCCACCCAGCCTGACAACTTGAGTTCAGTACTCAGAACCCACAGGGTGGAAGGGAGAAAACCAACTTCCAAAGCTGTCTTCTCACCTCCGTAAGTGTACGATGTCACGTGCGCTTGCTCACACCCTTACGCTGTGTGTGTGTATGTGTGTGTGTACAAATTCAATAGGAATCCCAACCACACATCCCAAAGCACAGGAATTCATTCAGCATCACCTAAAATTTCCCACCAAAAAGCTTTCTCTGATAACCACATTCCCTCTAGACCTGTTATTCCCAGTCCTACAAAATGATATGCTACTGCTTCCTCCCTAGGGTATCTGCTGACACCTATGTGCGGAGAGCTTTTGGGGCTGCAATCTGACATTGGCCAAGGACAAGGAAATGGGCTTTAGGCAGGAATCTGACTTTGGGCCATGACAAGGAAGTAATTTCAGTCAGGAATCCAAGTCTTAGGCTAAAACAAAGAAGTAGGCCTCAGGCTTGAATATGACTGTGGGCTAGCACAGGGTAGTAGGCTCAGATACTTTGTCATCCTGATGAGCCCTTAGATCGTGACAGTGGTCACAGGGTGATAACTGGACTCTGTATATTGCCTTGATTGTTCCTTGACTGTTTGTTTCTATTATATTGTTGGTTCCTCAACCTAGAACTGACCTAAATACTTACATGTAATTAAAAGGGCTTAAAAGAAAAGTTAAATTAAACAAACCTGACTTTAGCCTCAGAACTGGCTGGGGTCATGCTACAATTTTGTCTAATTGTCTCTTTTCTTTTAATCTTCACTCCTGTGCTGGAGAACCTGTTGACTGACTGAGCGGGCTTGGTCACGTATGTCTGTTTTGAGACAGATCTCACTCTACAGACTAGACTAATCTGGAATTCAGAGATCCTCTTGCCTCTGCTTCCTGAGTGCTGGAATTAAAGGCACACGCACCCTGCGCTGCCCTTGACCTGCCCTCTTCATAAGCAGTAAGTGAACACAACTTGGATCTTTTCTCCATCCTTGCAAGTTCCTGTCTTCATTTCTTCCTTAATTGGATGCTCCCAAGAGTTAAAATAAACATTTTGTGCAAATTAGAAGCTTCATCTCGGACAAAACTTCTAGGCCTTTCCACAAGCAAGGTCCCATCTATTTCTATTCCCAGTTTCCTCACACCATAGCCAAATACACAGCTCGGTACCCGAAGTCCTGGCTTCCTAACTTCTAAAGGCCCAAAGGTGCCAAAGGGGCACATACTGACCTGCACTGGTGAGCTGCTTGATGAGATTATCTTCCACTATAGCATAGCTGGCAAAGTTACTGCCAGCATCAATAAAAGTAGGCAGTGAGCCAGTGGTGAGAGCCTTTAGACGCTGCATGGTGGTTGTGGGGGGATCCACCTGGGATCGGTACAGCCGGGCATGGTGGGGTTGAGTCTCTAAGATCCTCTGCAAGGAACCTAGTTTTCCCAGAAAAGGCACAGAGACAGGAGGTTCTCCAGGCACATGTGAGCGCTGAGGCTGGGCAAAGTCAAACCGCAGAGCATCTATCAGCACCAAAACCACCCTGGAGAACCGGGAAGGCATCCAGCAGGCTCCAGGCTTTCCTTGACTTCCCCATGGCAGAGAACCAGGGCCTGGGGGCTCTTGGCAGCTGCTTTGATTGGTGAGCTCCAAACGGGTGAGAAGGAAGCCACTGGTGAAGAGTGCAATGCCAGCGTAGAAAAGAAAACAGACCCAGGCTAAGAAGAGGAGCACAGAGACCTTCTGCATCCTGGTAGAGAAGAGAATGTTCATTGTGGTGCGAAGAAACCATGGACATTTTGGCCCTCAAAACAAGGCCAACAACAATCATTTACTGCTATAAACTTCAGGACATAATAGCTAACTTACTCCAGCTGTTTCTACCAGTTATACCATCTGAGGGAGGGAGGCTGAAACTATGGATCTCAACCTGGAGCCCAGGCTACACCTACCAATTCAGGCTCTGAGGGTGAGCACAGGAACCTGTGCATATCCAACCAGGAGATCTAATAGTGTCAAACCATTGTCTAAGAGGAAGACTATTACAAATGGCAGGAAGATTGTTCTCTGATAGTCCATTTCAATGACTCTTTGGACTATCGCAACATTCCCAGGGTGGGAAACAGACAGCAACCACATGGATAACTGGATTGAGTAAACGGCGCCGCCTGGTGGGGACCGAGGAGACGACGGGGAGGAGTCTTGCTCCGCTTCCGGGCAGTCAGACTCAATAAAAAACCTGACGAACGACGTCCCCAGAAACCCTGGTATAAAGCCCATAGAGCTTTGATGGGATCCAGAAGTCCCGGCAGCTCTGTCTCCTCCGGTGGGAACCCGACCAACACCTGGACATGCTCACTCTGATGCTGGGCACCCCGGCAGCAAGCTGAGGCACCCGTACTAGGGGTGACGGTAATAAAGGATTCTCGGGAGACCTTGGCTCACCTGGATCTGCGCCCGGAAGTGCAGCGGCAGTGCTTGCAGTCTGGCACCACAGAGGTGTGCATGCCTGACAGAGCGCCCTACCAGGAGATTTGTCGCCACCTGCCGGCACCAGCGGGGAAGCTCGACAAGGAACCTGGGCTGAAAAGTTTGACACTGGGCTGAAAAGTTTGACAGGAGATTCAGTAACTCATAAATGGGGGCAAGGTACTAGTCTAAGAGAGGGGGAGGATGACTGGGTGTGTACAGAAACATGAAAGAAAAAAAGCTCAGGGACCACTGTCCATATTTTAAAAATATGCATTTATTTATGTGTATGTTTATACCAAATGCACTTAGTGCTACAATTGCTTTTAGCCAATAAGCCATCTCTTGAGATTCACTGTCCATTTTTGTTTTTCAACTCAAGGTCTGGGTGCTTGGAACTAAACTTTGGTCTTCAGCAAGAGCAGTACATGCTCCTCATCACTGAGCCATCTTTCCAGCCCCGTGGTTCAAGTTCTTACTGTTGTCTTTTCCCTACCGTGATGGACTGTAACCTAAAACGGTTTGCTAACTCTTTTAGATGTTTTTGTCAAGAGCACTTTATCACAGTAACAAAAAAGACAAACTAAGACACCAAGATAATCAAAATGTGTCTTTAAAAATACAACTAAATAAAAACCTATATATGACAGGTGGTGGTGGTGACAAACACCTTTAATCCCAATTGACAGAGTTTGCTTAGCATGCACAAAAACCTGGGCTAACCCAGCAATCTTTAGCACTCTAGAAAACCTGGCACAGTTGTGCACATCTGAAATGTCAGCACTTAGGAGGCAGAGACAGGAAGAACAATCAAGATCATCCTGACTCCATAGCTAGCCTGGGGCCAGCCTGGGATACAGGAGACACTATTTCAGAAACAGTAACTAACTAAAAACCTAACATTAGCGTAGCACACGCCTTTAATCCCAGCACTCTGGAGGCAGAGGCAGGCGGATCTGAGTTCCAGCCTGGTCTACAAAGCTAGTTCTAGACAAGGCTATACTGAGAACCCTGTTTGAAAAAACAAACCAAACAACCAAACAAAAACCCAGAAAATAACCCCAAAGCCCCAAACATAAAATAGGTAAGCTGGCTGAGTATGGTGGCACTTAAGAGGTGAAGGCAGGTTATATCACACATATATGACCAGGCCGGGCTACACACTAAGACCCTAGCTCTAGAAAACAATAAAATGAGTTATCTATATGGTATGTGAGTTGTATCTCAGTAGGAAAAAACCACCTTTCTTTGGTCTTCTTAGTAAATGGGGGCACCTACCTATAAAGGTCCTACAAATTCGCACTTAAGTTCCTCTTTCTCTTTTAAATACATCTAGCTGCTGCTTCTTTGCTTCTGGTAACTGTCCCAGCCACAGCAGTTTCCTTGCTCTTGTGTTTATAAGCCAGACCTGCTCTGCCTCTGGGCATTAGTAAACCCTGGACACCTTCATTTCTAGATTACCAAATGGGTCTCTCTCCTCTCCTCCACCTCCAAGCTCAAGTATCATTTCCAGCGAGGTTTCCTGGAACTCTCAGCTTGCATTAGTCCCCTCACCAGAGCATGTGACTTAAAATAACGGATCCAACTCGGGGCATTTGATTGCACAGCCAGAGGCTCCCCCATGGAGCCACCTTTCCAGCTCTGTTCACTTTCGATCATTATCGGCTTCCTGTATTCCCAACCCAACCATGACTCTGTGAAAGCAGACACCTCTGGGCTTCCACTTTGTTGTTGCCCCTTTGAGACAGGGTTTCACTAAGTATTTCACGTTGGTCTTGATCTCACAATCCTGCTAGGTCTGCATCACCATGGCCGTCTCTCGCCTGCTTTTGTAAACCCTAGTCAGTATCTTAATATTCTACACCCTCATCCCTTTTAAGACCGCCAAACTACTAATGCCAAGGCAGTCCTCTTTCCCATGTGCCCCAAACACCTGCACCACTTAGCAGGAGGGGCAACACTCTCCAGCGAGCAGTTCAGCAGACACATTTAATCTCCACACAGCAAAGGCTTCTCCTGAAGATAGAATGACTTCACTTCATATGAAGTTAACCCTTATCGTGGAGAATCAACTCCTTAGACCTACCTGGACTGAAGGGTGGGAGTGGACATCCAAAGAAAACCCGAGTGATTTTCCTAACTTCATCCCCCAATCAAAGAGGACAGTTTCCGATTTGCCACTGGTGAGTTTATTACATGATTATTAAGTTGAAATAAAAAAATAAAAACTAAAATTTGGCTGGGAGGCTGGAGCCAGAATCTGAGAGTACTGCTCCCGGTCCCTAGACTCCCTGGCCAAGTCATCTCTACTAGCTGAGCTTGACTCTGCCCAGTTCTTCAATACTTGTATCTGTGGCCTGGACATCTCTTCTGCTCTCGCTGGAGTTCTGGGCTCCGGGCACTGAGGCTTTGGTGAGAGCCCCATAGACACCCATGGCCTGAGGAGAAGGACAAGAGAGAAAGCTATAAGAACACTCTGTAGCTTTGTCCCAAACCACACAAAGGGGCTGCACAACTCCTGTTTTTTCTTTTTTCTTTTTCCTTTCCTTCCTTTCTTTTTTGAGACAAGAGTTTCTCTGTGTAGTCCTAGCTGTCCTAGAACTTTCTCTCTGTAGACCAGGGTAGCCTCGAACTCACAAAACTCCACTTGCCCATTGCCTCTGGATTAAAGTTATGTACTACCAACACCTGGCTTTAGGTTTTTTCTTTTCTTTATCATCATTCTTCTTCTCTTTCTTTTCTTTCTTTCTTTTTTTTTTTTTTTTTTGACAAGGTTGTATTGTTGTGGAGCCTAAGCGGCCTCTAACGTGTGAGCTTCCTACATCTCCTGAGCGCTGTTATTACAGGCATGCACTAACATATCCAGCCCCTTGGTTTTCCTTATCCTTCAAACTTCAGTTTTCTGAGCCTTGCAAACAATTCTAAGAATCTTACAAATCATCAAAGCAGGGTGACTCACAACCCTGACACAGGTATCTGCAGGAGTTAATGGAAACCTTCATTCTTGGTTTCTGACACTGTTATTGTATGCTTATCTTCAAAGAGCTCTAACCTGAGCCACCATACTCGTGACGTCACTGGGATTGGAGGGCAGTAGGACTGTGTTGGAATCCTTGGCCAGTTTGGAGAACGCACTGACGTACTGCTCAGCCACAGTCAGCGAAGCTGCTGCATCTCCATTCTACAGCCACAGTGGATAAAAATCAGGGGTCAGAGATTTAGGGAGAGAAGAGAAAGGTTACATTCCTGGAAAAGGGGCTATACAAATCCTAACACAAAGCTCACATAATCTAGCTTGATGGAGCCACATTGACAGGAACTCCCCACAAGGACAGAAGAGAGAAGCCCTTCTATTCCCATCCCCCATCCCCACCTATCCACCCAGCCTCTCACATGTTGAGTCAGAGCCCCAGCCAGAATTCGAATCGCTTCAGCTTTAGCCTTGGCTTTGGCCAGAACTGCACTGGCTTCTCCTAAAAGGGGGAAAAAAAAACAACACGGCAGTCTGACTCATGAAATCAGAGAAGCCCAAAGCTTCTGTCCCAGCCCTTACCTTTAAAGCCCCAAGCTCTGCCCCTCCCTCCGTCTTGACTCTACCAGCTCCTCACCTGCTGCCTGATTTATCTGTTCAGCCTTTTCTGCTTCGGAGGCCAGAATTTGGGCCTGTTTCTTCCCCTCTGCCACATTGATAGCTGACTCTCGTGTCCCTTCAGACTCTAGAACTGTGGCCCGCTTTCGACGCTCTGCCTCTACCTGGAAGTCCCAATGACCCCCATCAAGAAGAAGCCAGGAGAAACTCTAACCAGGACTTACAACTCTATCTACCACAATAGAGGATTGTAGTCCAGTGGAACTGGAGTAACCGATCCTTCTCCCCACCTGCATCTGCATAGACTCTTTCACTCGGGGCGGCACATGTATATCCTTGATCTCGTAACGCAGGCAGCGGATACCCCAGCAGTCAGCAGCCTGGTTGATAGCATCCACAATGTTGGCATTCAGGGACTCACGCTCCTACAGGAAGAGAAACATGAGCAGCACAAGTCAATGTCTCTATCAAGAGCCTGAACTGGGAAGGTCCCTGGCTGATCTTGTTCTCCAGAACAGATTTGACAGTACGTACCCTTAAGCTCTTGCTCAGGCCCAGATCCACTTACCCGAAAAACTTTGTCCAGGGAGAGTTTGCCAAGCTCTGATCTCATAGTGGTCTGAGCTAACTGGGTGACAGCATACTCAGGGTCTTCCACACCGTAACTTGCCTGAAAGCACAGGTATAGGATAAGAACTGAAGGTGCAGGGTTTTAAGGAGAGGCAATTCAGAAGACTAGATAAGGCCAGGGCAGATACCTTGTAAGGATCCATGATGCGCAGATAAAGGACTCCATCTATTTGCAGAGTGACATTGTCTGCAGGAACAAACAGAAGAGAAAGATAGGTCGGTCAGGCCTCTAAGCCCCACTAGTTCTTTCTCCTAAGCCCTGGATTTGTGGCAAGCACATCCTAACGCACTTAGCACATCCCTGTCACCCCATCTCTCTCACCAAGAGTTACAGCTGACTGCTCAGGCACGTTGATAACAATTTCCTTGAGACTCTGCACATACCGGATTCGGTCTAACACGGGGATGAGGACGTTCAAGCCCTGGGAAGAGGAGCCATAGATTCTCAGAAGAGTGAGGGTAATAAACTTGAAATCTAAACTAAGCCTGGAGTAAGTAATAAGTATAGAACATGGAAACTCCTACCAAGACATGTCCTCAAAGGCTGAGGTGTCATTGGTTGGGAAACCTAAGAGTACAAAAATGAAAGACTAGGCCTCTCTGAATGTCAACAGAATGGGAGCCAGCAAGAACTGCTACCTTTAGGTAGACAGGTAAGCCTAAGAGTGTGGTAGCTCCGGGAATGAAGCCTGTGGGTTACTAGGGTAATAAGAAAGCAGGCAAACATGGATGTGACGGTCAGGAGACTGGGCTCTGGTAGAACTGGTCCCTGCAGGTTAAAAGTGCAGATAGGCCCCAAGTAAGTCCCGTTCCCACATGAATAAGAAATCAGGTGATTTGGCTGGCTGAAGGTGGGCAAGAGAGGTTCTCACAGGTTCCAGAATCCGGTGGAATCGGCCCATTCGCTCCACCACCCAGGCCTCCTGCTGAGGCACAAACAGTATCACGGTGTTTCGGGGCAGTCCAGAGGAGGCGCGACGCGGAACGCGGCCAGAAGCCTGCACGGAGCCCTGAAGAAAGACGAGAGTAGGCTGAGGACGCGCCGCGGAACCCTAAATTCCTCTCCGGAATCTCGACCCCCAAGGATCCCCGGAGAATGACTCACGTGGGGACCATGACCTGTGACCCCAGTCCTTCCCCAAAGTTAGAATCCCACTCTTTCCCAGCTGAAGACCCAAGTGCTCTCTGTCCCGAGCCTCTGAAGAAGGTTGCCTCGTTCTCACCCTCAGCAAAAGGGCTCCAGTGCCCCGCGCCGCGCGCGCCAGCATTTCCCCTCAGCTCCAGCGACCTCCGGAACCAACGAGTGGTGGAGCAGAGCGGCCTCTCGTGACGCCTGAACCCGAGCCCTTCCTTCGGCAGTCCCACTCCGCCCGACGTACTTCCGGCGTCTTAGTCTACCTTTTCCCCTCCCCTCTACTAGTCTGCGTACGTCAAATCAGTCCCTGGGAAGCATAGGCTTTGAAGCGAGAGCACGAGAGTGCAAGTTTGTTCTAGTTCTCAAAAACTAAGAAGCTCCTGGGCATTGTTGTAGAAATCGAGGCAATATTCTGTCTGCAAGTGGTACAGAAACACCGCCCACGAAATTCTGTACCCACAGCTGTGACTCAGTTTACCCTCCAGCTCGTGTATAACTGTCCTAATCTGTCACCATAACGACAATGGATTGGTGCTCAGTAGTTGCCCGTGGTTGCCATAGTGACATTCTTGGGTAGACATGCTGTTGTGCCCAGCTCTCCCACTGGGGACTGACCCCATTCCCGTTGTCATGGTAACTAGGAGACCTAACTTTGCCTTACGATTGGGCGGAGATTTGTCCCTTCCCTCTTTTTCCCAAGGCATCAACAGCTCTTTTTCATTTGTTCTGAGCCCGAAACGTTGAAGCCTGATCGCCTTACATACAGAGGGCAACAAAGAGCCTCAACCTTTCATTTTTTGTCTGGAACATGTCACCTTGCTCAGGTCTCTGACACTCTCAATTACAAGCTTTAAGAGGCTTGTCTCCTCCTCCTCCTCCTCCTCCTCCTCCTCCTCCTCCTCCTCCTCCTCGTTTTATATATACAGACACTGAGGTTCTGAAGGGCTAAACTGCAGAATCAGTGTAAGAATCCAGATCCTCAGAGTTTAGCTTCTACAGCTTTACTTTCCCCCCCAGCCCCCCAGCACCTTATATGAAAAAGATTAAGACTATGGTCCAAGACTCCACTCATCCTAGCCTAAGATCTCGTGGGTTTGAGCCTGTTGCCAGAATTCTACCTCTCTTTAGGGTGGACATCTTCATCCTCTCGAACACAGAAAAAAAGTAGAGGTTAGTTCAAGTTTCCAAACAATTTATTCTTTATTTTTTTCCTTAAAAAATGTACCAGGTACAATTTTTCCTGTTTTTTGTTTGTTTGTTTTTCAAGTTTCAGCAAATGCTTGTTCCCCTCAGCCAAGCCCCAAGAGTTAAGGGTTGAGGCTGAGGCTGGGTCAGAGTCTTAAGTGAGGAGTGGAGTAACTGGGAACCATATGACCGAATGAGGGGCACCCCTCATCCCAGCTGAGGTAGGGGGGTCAGAGTCTGGTCAGGTGAAAGGAAGTTCCCCAGTCCTTAGGCCTGACTCTGTCCCTGGACACCTTCCTCAGTCAGGACGCCAAAGCAAAGAGACACAGGCAGGAGGAGAGGGACAACTGAGTCTGAGCCCTAGGTAAGAGGTGGTTAAACCCCTGTGTTACACATACATGCACATTCATTCTCTCTCTCTCACACATATACCCTACACAAACCCAAGTTTGTATGTACACACACACACACACACACACACACTGGCTGTCGAAGATGGGTTGCACGGCAGGGAAGGGAAAAGGAAGAGAGAAAACCGAGGGAAGCTGAGTCTTTGGCTAAGTGACTCAGTCCCTCTGGAATAACCCCTCTCTGCCCTTAGCCAGAGGAGAGCAGCTCTCCCCTTGCCCCGACATCAGCTTCTTCATGTCCTGAGGTTGGAGCAATATCTGAGAGTGGGGTGATGCCAATTATCAGGTTTGGGAGGTCACCAAGGCAATCCAATTTGAATAAATTATAAATTAAAAATAAATAAAATAATAAGTGGCCCCTGCCCAGGACAGGGAGGCAATGCTGGCATTACTTGCCTGGGAACTTGGGACAATCTCAGGGTAGCTCTGGTTCCTCCCTACTACCTAAGCTGGCCTGGGAAACCCAAGGGAGGGGACAGGCACATAGAGTGCCCAGAGCAGACAAGGTATGGAAGGACCGAAACTTTAAACACCCAAATAATCAATTTGGGTGTGAGCGTGATGAGGACTTTAATTCAAGCCTGAAGGGGCTCTCGCCATTTCTCCACAGTTTACCCTGTCCAGGATGGAGCAAGATAGGCAGGCTTTGGGCCCACCTAGGTTCAGAATGCTTGCAATCAGGGCAAAGGTGAATAACGTGGATTATGGGGGGCCTCAGTGACAGCCTGTAGCTCAAAGGGGAGCCCTGTGTCCAGCTCCAGGCTCCGGCGGGAAAAAAGCAGGCGGATATCTCCATGCAGGCTTAGGCGGCCCGAGCGAGAGCTCCGGAACCTGGGGAAAACAGTACGGCCCAAGTTAGTATCCAGGTGATGGAGAAGAAGGGCAGATTGAGGAGGGGACAGACATGTACCTGAGGTTCTCCAGCTCTCCCAGGGTCCTGGGCTTACCTGAGGTGCAGCAAGTAGCAGAGGAGGCGGTGGGTGGGGCTAGCATTTCCCTCCTCACCTACAGGCACCAAGAAGAGGCGATGGCGCAGGAAGGTCATGTGGGCAGCAGGCATGTCCGAGAAGTCAAAGGTCACAAGGAACATCTTCACCACAGTCTGGTTGGGGTTAAATAAGGTCTGGGGACAGGACAGTCCAGGTTGATGGCCTACTGACTGATTCTCCTCTTTTCCCACATCAACTCCCTCAGGGCACCCAGCACTCCCTCACTCACCACTTGGATGGTGCCCACCTTGGGCACACTGTAACCCTTCCTCCCCAGAGGATTCAGGTCCACGACTCCCTAGAAGATTATGAACCATTAGCCAGAGTAGGAACTAGAAGAGTCAGTCCTGAGCACCAAACACTGACAGCTCTGGAACACTTCTCCCTGGACTGGGTTCCACCCTAGACTAGAATTCTCATCTTACCCTGACTCACTCCTAGAAACAAGAACATGGAAAAAGAAATACCTTTTGCCACCCAAGCCCTCTGAGGTAACTTTGGGGTCAGTTTTATATCATACCAGGAAGGGGGCCGGCGCATTTTGCTCAGAAACATCAAAAAAGGTGACAGTGACAGGCAGCGTGACATGCTGGGGACAGTAAGACCCACTGGCTCCAATCTCTGCAGTAAAGCCCTCAATGTGGCCAGATGGTGCAAAGCGTCCTCGAAGCAATGATTCCTGGTATTCGGGTGGAGTAGACACATCTGAGAGTGATGCCAAGTCTTTCCTTTGTCCGTTTGAGGCACATTCCACCATGGAATTCCTCCCAGGAACCCTTAATCACAAAGCCCAAAAGGAGCGCTACCTCAAAGTTGCCCAGCAGGGTCCGGCTGACAGCAGGAGTGGGAAAGGGGGAGGCACTGGGAGGGCTCAGCAGGCCTGGCCCCTTCCGGAGAGTTCGAAGGGAGCTTCTGGTAAGAGAGGGACACAATGGTTGGCTTGAGTGTTCTGAGTATTCCAGTTTCCAGTCCTTGGGTACCACTCTTTTCTATTCCCCAGGGCTCCCTACTACATATGGTATTGGAAGAAACTACAGACTTCTGCCTTCACTTTCATGGCCAGGGGAGAGGGAGAGTCTGATGACTTACAGCTTCAGGCGACGGGCGCCTTTCAGCCTCCGCCCCATGGGACTGCAGTCTGTTGGGTCCTATGGTGAAAATATTGAGAACAGAGACTTCATGAAGCCCAGGCATATTTTGGGACAAGGACTTATTGTAAGTTCTCAGAAGAACATCTCTGTAGGTCTCCTCCACCTTCACCTACACAATGTCTACTTAGGAGTAGATGAAGAGAAGGCTAGTGTAATAACATATTAAGGTGGCACTTAGGAGGTAGAGGCAGGAGGATGAACTCATTCTTGGATACATAGGGAGTTTGAAGTCACTCTAGGCTATTTGAGACTTTGTCTCAGAAAGCAAAATCAGGAGATTGGAGATTTAGCTCAGTTTTTGGAGTGCCTGTGTAGCAGGCTGTCCTAAGACTCAAGCACACAGCCCTGGCTCAAATCTACATTCAATCTACAGCATCACATACACTAGGTGTGCTGGTGCACGCCTTTTCTGATTCCAACATAGCACCTGGAAGGTGGAGAAGTAGTTCCAGGTCATCTATGGCAACTCTAGGTTTGCCTGGGATACATAAGACCATGTCTCCAAAGAAAGAGAAAGAAAAAAAATAGACAAACTTGTCCACTGGCTTACCAAAACAGGCTCCTTGGGCCCAGGCAGCAGGTGGCTCCAGAAGGGTGTGGCTTTGGCATCAGAACTATTGGCAGCAAGAGGGCAGCCCAGGGTTCCCCGGCGCCTCCGAGGGGCTGGCCCCTCATCCTCAGAGCTGACATCAAGGACTTCTCCAGCAGGCAGCAGCCTTCGCTTGGTGGGGCAGGGGCCTGGAGGTCCAGGGCCAGGGGGTGTGTGCTCGGGACTGTGCCCATTGGCAGTTCCATGGGACTCCCTAGGCCAGGGCTTGCTCCCATTGCCCACCCTAGCCACTGGGCTCTTACCCCCTATTTGTGCAAGACTGTGCAAATCAGTGTCAAGTGTGTGCAGCTGGCCTGAGGGGGCTGGCCCTGGAGACTCCCCCAGGCACCCCTGTCCCCCTTGATCTGGGAAAGCCCAGTCTCTGGTGTGCAAAGTATTGCAGGAAGCATTTGATGAGGGCCATGGGGTACTTTGGGTCCCTGAAGTCCAAGGTGAGGTGGCACTACCCGCCTGTTCCACAACACAGAGGCCATGGTGGGAGAAATGTTGGCTAGCCACATCCAGTCCCTGACCCAGTCCCTCTGGGCTCAAGAGTCCCACAGTAGATGGTTCTTCCGGGGGTGATCCCTCTCTGGTCCCCAGCCCAGGGCTTCTCTTCAGCTCCCGGGGACCCTCAGTGGGAGGGGCCGGCCGCTTCAAAGCCCTAGGAGGCTCAGAGGCACCAGCTGAAGGGGAAAAGATGGATACCTGGTAGACCCCAGGGGATGTCGCCCCCCCTGCTGGGCTGTAGCCCATGAGCAGGCCACCCTGGAGGGTCCCCTGTCTGACTGGAGGCTGTGAAGGGCCAGCCTCTGCCTCTGAGGATGGAGATAGCTCCGCCTGCACGTGGCGCATGAAGCCCC